ACACCAAGGAACAATGGACGCAGACAACATACCAACTTGCGCGTAGAAAGCATCTGAAGATTCCGCAAGGTCAGTTACCGCACGCGTCTCTAATAGCCTTACACTCACCCAAGTCAATATGAAGAACACAACGACTTCCCTTTAGTGATTTCGGGAGTACATGCTTCGACATTAGTCGGCAGCTCTGCTTTACTGCGGCGGCGTTCTATACGAATGTGACCGTCAACCCCTGTATCCACGTGCAATCACGTGTTAGTCAACCAAAATATGATAACATTGCGCCAAAAGATTTTCTGAGAAGCCCGTGTATATCAATTGGCTAGATTATTCGCCTTCTAAGCGAAAGGTTGCGGGTTCGAGCCCCGCCATGGGCTCTCGTTTTTACTTCTGCTTTTAATGTCTTGTCTTGGTTCACTATCTTGCAGTGACTAGCCAATGCATGCAGGATGCGCCATCATCGGCAAGACATCATCGAATGTTTGTAACAGTGAACAGGAATGTCTGCTGCCGCCATAAAATCCTTCAATTTTTGGACCTTAACGACTGGGAGATGTCATATGGAGCAGTTTCAATCGCACAGGGCCATACTATGGTGGCTAACTGGATGCAATGTGACGCATTACTGGGAGACTCGAGTTAAACAATCCAAAAGAACAGTTGGGGGAGGTTATATACTAGGTCGCCGAGATCAACCGGAATGGCAACGGCAGGTGACCAATGAGGCCTTCAGCGCTGGTCGAGTCCTGTTACAGAATGTCGCTCTGACTGAGATGGTAGGGTTTGCTTGATGTTTGCTCGTGCCATTCCTCACGCTTCTTGACCAATGTACAGAGAGTATCGAGGCCGGCTTTGCCCTATCTGCAATCGCTGCGTGCGTTGGTATTACAGAGCAATTATCTCACGAATATCGATCCCGCCATATTTGAACTTGGTGGTCTCGAAGAACTCAACCTGGGACACAATAGGATACGGCATGTGCCACCAGAACTCGGAAAACTGACCAATTTGCGTGAGCTGCTCTTACACAACAATATGGTCGATGCTCTGCCTGACGAAATCGGCTGCCTCTCCAAACTCCGCGTGCTCGATCTCACCGGCAATCAGCTCACATGGCTTCCGGCTAGTATCTTGTGTCTAAAGGAAATGAAAATGTTTTGGCTTCAAGGGAACCCTATAGACGACCTTGCCTCCAATACGCATCTTGCCACCTGGATCTTGGCAGGCTTGCCAGATTGCGATGGCCAATTCACACACCTATTAGAGTCGATACACCCAAACGATCACCCATACCCAACAAGAGACGGTGGTCCATATACAGGAACGCACTCTCCCTCTCTACCCCTCATTCATCGACGAAGCGGCATGTCGGCCAGATCATTTTCGACGCAACGACGCCGAAAACGCGTCATCAAGCCTCGTACCACCATCACGATACCCGTTCAATCCCTCAAAAGTCTCCTTGTTCAACAGATGGGACGATGGGAGGCCTTTGCGGCGCCAATCAAGGAGATGCAACAGTTATCCTTGGATGACAAGATGGAAGAAGAGGAGGAGCAGAAATTGGAGCATCCGCTTTATGGCTTACCCGAGCACTTACGCGATCTCTGGAGAAAAGCACCTCCATGCGCCTATTGTCACCTGTCTCTCTTTCAATCATCCGGTATCGTGTTACTCGGCTGGCGTCAGTTCAATCGACAGCTTACCCTGTTACGCTGGCTTGTCTGTTCACGTGCTTGCACCTTGAGCTTATTGCATGACGACGACTTTGAATACACGGATCCATACGAGCATCAAGAGAATACCATTCATAGACGACTAGAACAACTCGGACGATCGCGATTTATGACACGCCGTAAAAGTGTTGGCCATATCTGATAATGCTTCACGCATCCCATTTGTAACATTACTGTACATGCTTAATACACTGGACCAAAGATACGTCCTTCTACACTATGAGGCCTTCGAAGCTCCTGGATACCCACAAAACCACGCCGCCTTCCTTGCAAACCTTGACCGCTTGTGCCAGAGGTCATGAACTTGGTCCAATTGCGTTTGAGGTTCCGCAAGACACGGGCAATAGCCGGGTTTGGTGAGGCGTCCGGTGGTTCTGACGGATGAGGAGGTAAGGTCGCCAAGAGTGACATCATCTGCAACATGCGTGCAGCCGCTTCGGCTGGGTTCTTGTCCGATTCAAAGTCAATAAACAATTTTGCAAAGGCCTCTGTATTTTCGATGAGACCAGATGACCTACATTGGCTATATCGCTTACCTTCCAAGCGGTCAATCATGGGCAGGATGACACAATTGCGAAAACTTCGAAGCGCCATGACGCGAACATTCCAGCTCTCATCATTCGAGACCACACCGACCGACAAGGCTTTCAAATCGCAGCGCACAGGGAGAAAGACGCCTTCAATGTAAGGCAAAGCATTACCGAAAAAGAAGGACCATTGCTCTACCAGTCTCGAAACGAGCTTGTCATCCGAAACATGAAACAGCTTGGTTGTGAGAGCTACCATGCCATCGTCTAGCAGCTTCATGATTTTTGGGTAGAGATGTGGTGAAGGCGGATCACTTAGGCATCGTCTGTGCGAAAAGCACGCGTAAGCAAATGCCCGTAAACAAAACCTTAACGTCGTTTGCTTACCGAACCAAGTCATTTGCTTCTTCCATGGTTCCTCGAACGCCTTCGCCGTTGAATAGCGGAAGGACGCGGTTGCAGAGTATTTGCCAAATGTCATCATGCCATACAGCAGGTTGATTTTGGACGTACAGTCCTGTAGCTGACACACTGGGCATCGATACCATGGCACCTGGTAATGTGTACGATGTTCTAGTGACGTAAACAGGTGTTTGCGCTGTCTGGGTGTAGACTGATGAGGGAGGAGTGCTCGCCAGTAGGAGATCTTGAGCGCTTGCGGCTGCTACGACGAGATCGGACGGCGCGCCGGCTTTAGGTAGATAGGGTGAAGTGACGGAAGACACGGTAGATTGACTGGAATGCGAAGCTGCGACGGCATGTCCGACAGTGTTGTGCGATGTCATTTGATTGGATGGAAGTTCGTGTGCATGGACTAGGTGCGAGCTTGTGTTTTGTCCAGATGGATTCAATGATGCTGAATTTGGACTTTGGGATTGCTGAAAGGCGAGAACATTGGGTAAGGGCCGGTTAGGAGACCAGACTGGCGAAGTCACCGTGGCTGGACCAACAAAGGTCCCGCTCGTGTGCGTTGTCGACTCTGCGTCGCCAGTGGAAGCATACACAGTCTCCTCCGGCGGCGGCGTGTTGTGTCGCTCATAGTGCGTCTTTCCAAGCGGTGGCTTCTTGACCCGTATCAGCGAGTTTTGTCGCCCATCGACTGGATTAGCCAGCTTCTGGGGAGATATAGGTCTCGAATGATGACTAATGGAAGCTGAACGCGCTGGAACCTCAGCAACGTGCGGTAGAGCGACAGTGGCGGGTATAGGAGGTACGGGTGGCGCCTGAGTCCCAGCACTCAAAGGCGTGCTTGCTACCTCCGACGAGGTAGACGATGATGTAGGTGATGCCGACAATGGGTGTGTCGATGACATGCCGGTAACATGCGGTTGCTTTGCCTCAAAGTCTGTTCAATTCACAATGAGCTCTTCCACCATGCAAGGAGACAGACAACAAGAAGCAGGGACAGTGTTGTCTTGTCTATCCACACCTTGCATTGAAAGAACGAGCAAAGAGTAGTTATTCAGGTGTAAGCTTTGCTTCAAATGACTATTGAATCAATGACAGCAATGTGAAGCGGAGAGATGGACACAAGTTTGTAAGCATAAGGACAATTGGTGCCAAGATGATCATATGTAGGCTATATGTTGTATGCTTAAGCAAACATTGACAAGTAATTGAAGGATGGATGGCTTGATCGTCCTGCTGAAGACACGCAACTGCACGCCTTAAGCTTCAATTTAAGAACATTAGAATTCCCTTGGCTCTACAATGGTGAATAGGGATAATTGACATTCTTTGCGTCCTCTAGTTACCAATTGATTTGTCCTCGGTTATGATATGTTGCCATTGTTTGTCAACTTGGTTCCCCAAAAGGAGGTCTGTTTCCATACATAGGATCCACAAGCCTCCGTCAATAAAGCGGTTTCAGGTAATGTTGCAGTCAAAAACAAGGGTAAAGCAATAAGAGTCTATAAGCTTTGACGGTGCATTTATCGATCATTGTCATGACGGATAATATCGCTCTGTACTCGTGGTCTCTTACCTCTGGTCGATTGCCCTGACCATTGATCCATGGATTGAGAGTATGCGGTGCCGCCGAGTACACGCGTACACCTTTTAACCCGTATCGAAAGAAAGCGAGGGCAATGAGGCTTATCCACACACAGGATTTTGCACATTGGAAGTTCGAGAGTTATCGATCCAGTTCAGCATTGACCAAATGGATAACCTTATCCACAGGCTACGTGTCAAGGTAGGTTCACAAAATGGTAACCTGGTGTGCGCATAAAGACTGACTCGCCATCATACAAGCAGAGTATCGAGCGGAGTTGAGAGCTTGCTGACAAATGCTCTGCGACGGACAGGATCAGCATTTGAGAGAATGCTTATGGTCCAAAGGTTGACCTGAAAAGAAGGTACATCCAGATTCGCATATAACCCTAGATCATGACTTCTCATGGCTTTGGTGGTTTTATTCCATAATGCCTGCATTTGCGCATTAACTATTCTGCTCTAGCACTTGACTTGCAATCGCATACCAACCACCCTCAATAGTCATTCAACCAGCGAGATGAAGACTAATGTCTCCTTGGTAATTATATAAGAATGTCCAGACGAATCTTGAAGCAGATGAGTTTCCAGCTTGAGTATTCTCGGGTCGAGATTGAGTATTGACGAATGGAAAGAAAATTAATTGGGAAGAGAGTTCTCAAAAAAGCTACCATTTCGAAACTTCCCGATGCCATGCAAGACTCATTCGTTATGGTCACAATCCAAGAAGCAAAAGTCTAAAAGTAAATGACGACTGTAGGACTCGAACCTACGCCTCTTTCGAGACCGCAACTTGAGTGCGGCGCCTTAGACCGCTCGGCCAAGTCGCCATTTCCAAAAAAATTTTAAAGTTGACTTTTATGTTTGTTAATGTTAATTCATTTGCATCATTAATTCAATCTGAAAGTGGAAGAGAAGTGGTCTGGAAGGGTTTTCATTGAGGCTTACTGGCCAGAATCGTGACCAAACTTCATTATCGCGCGTAATAGTTGAACATATAACAAGCTTAGAACGTGATGAATCGCCACTTTGGCTCGGGCTTTGCCTTTCTAAATGTAACGACAATGGAATTGAACAGTTTCCAAATAAAGGAAGACCAAGCCACTCGATATTTTTTGTTCCTCTCACTCTTGACCTGCACTTTGCTCATGGTGTCTATAGTGACGGAAACTGCAGCCATGGATCAAGCAGGTGCCAAGAAAGCACTTAAAAAAGCGAGAAAGGACTTAGGGGAGTCTCAGGGACTTGTAGCAATGTCAAAGCCTGACAAGAAGCGACCAGTCGCTGACGAAGACAGCAAGGAGGTTCGCAAGAAGCAAAAGAAGGAAAACAAGGCCAAAAAGTTGTCAGAAACGACTGAGAACCCAGCTGAATCCAGCCCCACTACACCCACCAGCAGCGCCGACGCTATCGACAGTTCCGAGAAGACAGACAAGGACGAGAAACAGAGGAGCAAGAAGGAAAAGAAGGAGAAGAAAAAGGCAAAAGAAAAGAAAGACAAAAAGAGCAAAGACAAGCAAAAGAAGCGCGAAGTTGTAACACCCAGCGGCAGTCAAACCCCAAGTGCAGATGTCTCCAATGTGTCCACCCCAATGTCCATTGACTCCAACCTCTCAACGGCCACTTCGCAATCAGAAGATAAAGCGGCAGCATACGTCGAGCACCATTCGCTTAAATCCCTTCCACAAAGCACGATCGATGCGTTTCTTGAAGAGCACAAGGTCCAAAGCAGCGAAGACATTCGTCCTATCCTAGAATTTCATCAAGCCGGATTTCCAGAGGATCTGATGAATGTTGTCAAGGACTTTGCGAAGCCAACACCGATCCAGTCCGTGTCTTGGCCTATCGTTCTCGCTGGTCGCGACGAAATCGGCATTGCCAAGACAGGTTCTGGGAAAACTCTCGCGTTCACATTGCCAGCCCTACAACATATCAAAACGGTAAAGAAAACGCAAGGCAAGACGAAACATCCCAATGTCTTGGTTGTGGCTCCTACTCGCGAACTCGCCATGCAAACTCAGGAGATTGCAGAAGCCGCCGGTAAGCAGACAAAAATTACGTCAGTCTGCATCTACGGCGGTGTCCCAAAGGATGCACAGCGTCAACAGCTTAGCAGAGGCGTCGATATTGTCGTAGCCACTCCCGGACGACTGGTGGATCTGTTGGATGAGGGTGCATTGGACATCTCCAATGTGTCTTACCTGGTCTTGGATGAAGCCGATCGAATGCTGGATGTCGGTTTCGAGGATGCTGTCCGCAAAATCATAGGACTCACCCGCAAAGATCGTCAAACGCTCATGTTCTCTGCGACTTGGCCCGAGTCTGTCCAAAAGTTGGCTCACGATTTCCTGATGGACCCAGTGAGAGTATCCATCGGCTCCACGGATTTGGCTGCCAACTCCGATGTGCAACAGATTGTCGACGTCGTCCAACCTTTCGAAAAGGAGCAAAAGCTCGTGCAGCTCTTGAACAAGTATCACAAGTCCCGCAAGAACCGAGTCCTTGTCTTCGTATTATACAAAAAGGAAGCCACCCGTATCGAACAAATGCTACAACGCAATGGTTTCAAGCCGGTTGCCATTCATGGCGATCGCAATCAGCAACAGCGCACAGAAGCCTTGAATCGATTCAAGGACGGCTCTTTCCCATTGTTGATTGCCACCGACGTTGCCGCTCGTGGTCTCGATATCCCAGATGTCGGCCATGTCATCAATTTCACCTTCCCGCTCACCATCGAAGACTATGTGCATCGCATTGGCCGAACCGGCCGTGGAGGCGCCAAAGGCACTTCGCATACTCTGTTCACCATGCATGACAAGTCACACTCTGGAGAGCTCATTAATATCTTGAAGCAAGCAGGTCAACCAGTACCCGAAGATTTGCTAAAATTCGGAGGCACTGTCAAGAAAAAGGAACACTCTGCGTATGGAGCATTTTTCAAAGACGTAGACATGACGGCCAAGCCAACCAAAATTACCTTTGATTAAAGCGTAGATACCCATAGACACACTTGTATGTATTTAGACCCGTTGCAACCTTCTTTCTGCTTGCTTTCGCTCTCAATCCGTCCAATGCACTTGTCAACGCTTGAAAGCCAAGAATTCAAATTAGGCAAGCCATTGCTGAAAAGGGGTCTTCTTGTTCGTGTGCGCTCATGATGGAGGTATATGCATTGGTGGTCGCCATGGCTGCCACAGTGGTAGAGCGCGCTGCTTCAGCTGGTGGTAAGCAGGGTGAAAGCGAGCTGACATTGGTCCACGTGTTCATCATTGACAGCGGCGGACTACTACGTTTCTCAACTTCCCGGTCTTAACGACTCGATCAAAGTCACACAGTATGCTGGGTAAGTGCAGTGTATAAAGGCTTTCCCTAGGTTCTTTTCGCTCATTCCAGGGGTATTGCCTCAGACATATCGAAATAGATGCATCAAGGAACGCGAATATATTCTTTTGGCTTTTGAAAGGCAGAACTCCTCCGGAGGATGGTCAAGGTCGCTTGGTATGTCTGTCATGAGGATTGAATGGGCTCGACTGACGTTGTATTGCTTGGCGTTAGGTCATATGGTTGAATGGAGGTAAGGAATACTGGACAATGGCGATGCAGACACAGATGAATAACTCGTACACCTTTGACAGGTCCCGGATGGTAAGCATTGCTGCCATCACTTGATTGCATATTCATGCTCTAACGCTGACCTTACGTTCATATCATGACCTATAGCTCGAGGTGAGACCTACATGACACATTTACAGACACGGCGGCTAACAAAGACCTTGTCGAGTAGCATGGACGGTCTATTTCTAGAAAACGGTCCCTATCGTGTCAACAAGGATTCCACCGTAAGGTATCTCGAAACTGGCTGGAATCAATATGCCAATGTTCTCTTTGGTACGTTTTGTGCAAGTCGACATCGAACCTTGCTTGCTCACTCGAATGCTTATAGTCGATCAACCTGTTGGTACCGGATTCAGCTTTGCTAATACTAACAGCTACGAGAAAACCATCGAACAGGTCAGTGACAAGACAATCAGTGCTTTCGTGACACTGATGATAGCTATGCCTTAGGTGACCACATCATTTGTAACGTTTCTCCACGACTTCTTCCAAATATTTCCAGAACATGCAAAAGACCAAGTATGGATTGTACAACAGCATGTGTAGCCAATATTAACAGTGTTCGTAGATTTACTTGGCCGGCGAAAGCTTCGCTGGTATATACATACCATACTTCGGATCCAGGATAATCGAAATGAATCGAGACAGAGAGAGCCCCATAGTAGGTCTTGAAACCTTACCCTCATCGCAAGGCATACTAATGTACAATCCTAGTATAATCTGGCGGGACTTGCCATCTCTAATGGTTGGATGGCACCCCGTATACAAGTGAGTATGCGGCAAGTTCGTAGGAGATTGCCTAAACTCTCAACCTTTTGCCGTGCAGTATCAAGCCTATGTTGACTTTAGCCTGCAACATAATATAGTCAGTGGTCCGTCGCAGGTATGTGTGATATCATTCCGGATAGCAAGGTGGTATTAAACCGTATACATCAGGACGCTGTGAAAAATTCCCTGCAAAAATGTCTTGCGCAAATCGAGCATACAGGAGAGAAGATCAAAATGAACAAATGCGAAGCCATCCTTGATGACATCATGTATGGGAGCAAGCAAATGTGGGTGGAAATGATAACCAGTACATGTCACATGTTCTCAAACCTTGCGCAGAATCGATGGGAGGGAAGTCTGTGTCAATATCTACGACATACGGATACGTAACGAATCCTATCCATCATGTGGTGCAAATTGGCCTCACGAGCTTGTAGAAACAGCAGCCTATCTAAGAGTAAGAGTCACTGCATATTCAATGTGTTGCGCTAAGTAGTGGGCATTAGCAACCAGTGGTCGTCCATGCTATTCACGCTAGTAAGCAAGCAATGGGATGGGCAGAGTGTTCTGGCGCGGTTTCTTGGGCACTCGACGGTGACCAGAGCGAGCCATCGTATAAGGTATGAAACGACAAGAAAGGCTTATTACATTCAATCGACTTGATGTCTACTGCAGCTCCTACCAAATATCTTGTCCACAACACCAGTATTACTGATTAGGTTCGTATAAGAGACTTTGACCGCTGGTCGTCAAGACATTTCATTAATAGCGTTGATTAGCGGTGACCAGGACCTCATCTGCAATCATTTGGGGACAGAACGAATGATCAAGGAACTTACCTGGGGTGGAAGCACTGGTTTTGGCGTAAGTAGTCGTTCACACACATAGCAACCTATCCTCACAGTGCTATAGCCTGATGACGAAATTATGGACTGGTACATTGATGACAATCGTGCCGGTTACTACACCTCTTCCCGCAATCTGACATATGTGTTATTGAGAGAGGCATCTCATATGTCACCGTATGACCACCCATTGGAACAATTGGATATCATCAATCGGTTCATGGGCGTAGGTGGCGGTAAAGTGCTAGGGAAGGAAAGCTGGGTAGGAGACCGAAGCGATTCACCCTCAAGAGACGAACAAGATATGTCACATGCTTGGGACGACTATTATGGATGGTAAGCGTCATTGTTTTTGGATCAGATTAGGCAAACACTGGTATGTTCCAGGGGCTGGGCCACGCTCATTTTCCTTATCGTCGCCATTGCGGCTGGATACGCCTTCCGCCTGCGCTTAGCCACAACTTTGACGCCGGGAAGTAACCTTAGGTTGGGTTCAGGCGATTGGAAAGCGGCCGTACTGGATGCAATTGCGGGCGCTCTACCTAGATCCCTTCGCAGACGAATCGCCCGGACTCGCTGGGGTTCGCGATGGCTTCACCATG